TAAGTTTTCTGTTTCGCTGTTGCAGGTTCTGTGCCATAACCAAGCCGCTGAAATACGGGGTGAAAAGGACACCGCGACGTATGATCGTTTACGTGAGTCTCGTTTGGTTGGGAGCGGCCTGCATCAGTCTGCCACCATTGTTGATCATGGGGAACCAGCACACCTACTCCGAGACCGGTCCATCTCATTGCGTCGTCTGTCAGAATTTCTTCTATCAGATCTACGCCACACTCGGAAGCTTCTACATACCTCTGTTCGTGATGATTCAAGTGAGTCTAATCTTTCCTTAACTCTGCTCGAACATTTCTGCGTTGTCGTTGACGCAAGTTTCATCGTTCGTCGTTATCAAGCTCGAATCGGTAAATCGGTTTCAACCCGATTCGTTCTACGAAAAAATCGCACCTGTCGATTCGTTCTGCTTTCTTTTAATTCGGAGAATTATTAAGCGGTTTCGTGAAGAATTCCGCGATCGTTGCGTTTAAATGTATTATCGACGTTCGCGAGATTGCAAGTTGCAAATATCGAAGCGACATATTTTCGTTCCAGGTAATTACTGATTAATACTCGTTCGTGGGTACTCGCGCGATGGAAAATACACAGGTCGAAATATATTAAATCGTGTATTAAAAATTACAACTATGTTGTGAAACGTACACCACGGAAATTATTGTCACTCGAAAATATATTTCGAAATTCAGGGAAATTTGAAGATACGAGTCGGGATATTTTTCTGTCTCTCTTCCCTTCTGTTGGAAGAATTCCATTGTTCCTTTCCTCTTACTGAAAAGTAAAACGGCGATTTGTTCAACTCGCTAAATATCAGTATCTTTTTATATTACGTATTCTGGCACTGCAGTTTAAAATGTCCAATAAATATAGAAATATAACTTTAACTGTAAATGTCATTAAAAATTAAACATGATTCGGTATGTAATAACTAAATGCAAATTGTGCGAATAATAAAAAAAGAAAAAAATGATGTAACGATCAAACACAATATTAGGTCATACGCAACGTGAACGTCCGTAAAATTTAATCCGATCGTATCAATTTTCCAAAGTTACTCTCTGAACGCAATCTTTTTTTTTTATTTCCGACGGATCGTTTTACATTCACGTCGTTCCGATACTAACAATCAAGAGATTCTTCCACGAGGAAAGCCTCAATTTGTAGCCCTTCTATTTTTACAAATCGTGGAATCTGATACTTCATCGCGTTATTAACGTTAATAACGAGAGAAAGAAAACTCGATGAAAAATTCTTTTGCAGCAAACGTTCTCATTATGCGTTCTCGCCGTTCCATTTGTATCTAATATTATCATTCTCGTCGTGAACTTTGTTCGGTCAAAGGAATCAATTACTCTCCTACCTTTATCGTCTACGGGTTAATTAAACCGATTATGAGATTGCAAGGGACAAAGATATTTCAATATGTATATATTGCAAAACCGAACAACCGATGGTAATTTCAATTAATTCGACGAAACATCGCGATTACGATAAATGCTCGAGAATATGTTAAGGGACTTTGTGAGTTTATACCCGAAGAAACTTCACGATGAAAAAGGAGAAAACGGAGCAAAGTTATCCATTAATCGATGATTTTGACATTTTCTACCATTAATGAATACTATAGTTGCAAACGCGGTATTCCAGTTGCAAGTAGATTAGATAAATTATATAAAATATATTAAATATATAATTTATATAATTTATATAAAATATATTAATATACTTAATTGCACATTACAATAATATATCAATATTTAATATATTATAATATATTGATATACAAATTGATTAAATTATAAAACCACGGCACATTTTATTGCAATCAAAGGTAATACGTTACGATAAAATAAAGTTATATGAAATAAAATAAAATAATAAAATGAAGTAATTTATTTATAAATATACTTGGGGGGTATGGCAATAAAATCTCCAATAAGAATTTCTTTTTTCTCAGTAACAACGAAGGACAGTTTACGAAGTTTCAATAGTTTCCAACAGAGGGTGAGAGGGTTGATTTATGAACAGCTGGTTCGATTCGAGAGTTAAAGCAAGTTAGAAATTATAACCATCACTCCGTGGACAATCCAACGTAACACACTTTCTAATACATTAATCAAGCATCGTTAGATCGAGATAAATAATTTCGTAGTCAGGTGATATGTCATTAAAGTGCAATGACTCTCTAATCACTATACACCACCGCGGTGTGTCAATTAATTTAAAGTTCAACGATATATTAAGTTGCTACGACGCGAGAGTATCTTCGAGCCTTGCTGTAATCATTAATTACCATTAATTTCATTGGTGGTATTATATTTATTAAATTATCACCTCGAGGACACGATGGGATAAAGTTTAGTAGGTGAGTTAAATCCTCGGTAAATTACTCCCTTAATATCCCGGAGCGCTCCGGTTTTCTCGAAGAATAATTGAAACTAGAACCAAGAATCTCGGGGCAAGAATCGAAATACTTTTAAATTCGAATTTAAGAACGAACTTCTCCATCTCTTCCATTCTGAACTCATAGTTGAAAGCACTTTAAAACCGACTGTCACGAATTTCACAGAGTCTTGCGCTCTGTGTGACATACAGAACAACTTCTTTAGTCGCAGTTTTCTAAAGCTCGAACATTAACATTTCAGACACTTGATAAAGGGATCTCCGTGCAACAAATAAATACACGAGGAGAGACGCATTAAGCTGCATTAAACAAAAAAAAAATTTTACAAAATTAAAGTTAACACTAGAGTATTAATGTATTTATGATAACAGTAACTTGCACGAGTTTTTACGAGACATCATTTAAATCTCTTCATCTTCACAAAAATTATAAACTTGCTAGTTCTTCTTGATTATTGCGTTGAAATATCTATTATATTAATAAGTTTTCGAAGAAAATTCAATTTTTATAGAGAGCTACATTAACCCTTTAAGGTTCGTAATTATTTTCAAATTATCAAAATTATTCAATGCATAGTTATTTCCATGATGGGAAAATTATTGTCAAAGCAGATTACACATGCTAGAATATAGAACATAAAGTCATCGAGTCCATCTAAAATGAAATAAAATGGTCGTCACGCTGAACGTATGGCCGCGGGAGATTAATTGATCGATGGATCGAAATATATATACGATTCCTTTCAAAAGGAGTGGAGTAAACCGAAACTTCCGAAACCCTTCCATTTACGAAGAAAAGAGAAAAGTAATTACCGCGACATTACGTCCCTTTCTGAATCGAATAACTCTCGCTAACAATGTTAACTCTCGTTAACAATGTTTCCCGAACGTTTTCCGAAAACAAACGGAGATATTTGACGGTGGTAATAGTCCGGCGTGCACGGTACAGAGACAAAGCGGTCGAACGAGTTTCTATTAAAGTGAACAGAAAATCGTTAATGTTGCGATTTTTCGTCGGCGGGGGTATTGACTTTCGACGGGGGTTTCGTTGCCACAATTGATTGGACGTTTGGCGTGCGGCGAACGCAAATCCCATGGAAATAATTGGTGGGAACATTTGTTGTAACGAGCACACGGAAAATAAACGATCATGCATACTTCCGCGGTCGTGGTGTCGAGCGTTAACATGAATTGACATAATAACAGTTAAATAATTACCGAGTCGGCCGTGGCCGGTCAGCCGCACATGCGGCAGTTTTATTGCCATCCGCCTCTTTAATTAATGCAACGTAAAATGCAACGCCAGCGTTGTGTGTTCCTCCGTGTGGATAAAATGACATTTTTAATTATTTAAGAGCAATAACAGGCCGTTAACGCAGTTACGTGCGATGCAAAGCGATCAATTAACGTTACGTGTTTAGCACAGTATTTAAACGTACAGTTGATCACGGAGGTATTTGAATATCTGCATATATTATGTGAATTCAATATATTATACGACACACACACGTATGTGTGTATATATATATATATTTTTTTTTTTTTGAACGTATCGTATGGATGGTATTAAATGGTATTATAGTAGATAGCATTAAATTCATATTAGATTGTATGGATTTTATATATTACTATATATTTCATACATACGTATATACATACACGTGTATTGTAATTTTTATGTTTCTTGTCCAACGTGATCATAATGGTAAATTGTATCTATATAATATATAGTTATTTATTTCATTCTTTATATATTTATGATATGTAAAGAATGGTACCTTTATAACATATAATATGATATAATAATTTATATTATATTATTAAACATGTTATAATTAATATAACACTATACAATATATAGAATAATATATATTAGGATATATTGTGTAATATATATAATTATTTATAATTATAATAATTATATATATACACGATCAGTTTGAATCACATGTATGAATTATTACGAATATACATGCATCACTATACAACTGTGATCTGTGATAATCACGTTGCAGAATTTAGAAAAAAATTAGAAATAACTTTAGATTGTGACACTCATGTAGGACATTGTATTCGCATATTTTGCAAAAGATTTTCGCTCGAACGTGCGCGACAGGTAACGAAGACGCTCGTTTCTACCTGTATTGAAAACGTTGCGCAAGAATTCATTATTAATACAACACTGGTATCTTAACTATCCAAAAAATCCGGCAATAGGAATTTTCATCGTGCCTCGTATTCATTCGCGGCAGACGGTTCAGGCATACATATATATACACACACACACATATATATATATATTTTTTTTTTCTTCCAGGTGTATTACAAAATATTCTGCGCTGCGCGGAGGATAGTGCTGGAGGAACGAAGAGCTCAGAGCCACTTGGAGGCGCACTGCTATCTCGACATAGAGCCGACGGTTCAGCAGCATCAGCCAGCAGCCGTGAATCGTCAATTAAATTCCGACGTGCAGGCTGGCCATGGAAGTCCGCCTGCGAAGCAGCATCGAAGTTCCAGCGCCTCGACGACAGTAAGTAGACGAATCCGATTCTAGTCGATAGATCGCACGCAGGTCGATCTTGGTTCGATAATCCCCGCGGTCTCGTTGAACACTGTCGGGGGCTGTTGACTCAGTCATTTCCCTCGACTAATCCACCCTCGAACCGAGGATGACGAACTAAACTAAACCGTAAGTTCGCTGTAAGTACGCGCGAATCGTTCCATTTGCAATATGTAGGCGGTTATTTAATCTGTTTGTCGAATGATTAATGCGAGGGGGAAGTGAATATCTATATTATGTAATATAGATATTGTCGCTGTGTTAAATCGTGTCAGATTCACTATAAATCATTGTTGAAAAATATAGATCATACTGGATATTAAAGATATTCGTAACAAGT